GTCTTTTTTGTAAACACTTCTTTGCTGAAACTCCAAAAAGCAGCAGGTTGCTTAGATGACAGTCAGGCACCATTCAGTTAGCAAAATATTTTTTTACTTCAGCGATTTCCTGGAGTCCAGGTTTGCCAGCAGGTGCTGTGCAGGTCTTCTTTGTGTTCTGATGCATGAAAAACAATCAAGGATTTTTGACTTGAAAGTTCTGCACAGAACCTCGGTCCTGCATTCATTTGACGCTGTTGTAGAAAAGTTACGAGGCCAGACCGAGTTTCCTGGAAGGCCTTATCTAGTCACTTGATCTGAACTGTGATCTCCTGATATAAGCTGTTTTTTTAGAAGAACTAAATATAGTCCAGACTGAAGATTAGACAGTTGCAGAGGGAGAGTTCCTTATCTTTTCCACTGCTGCTTGAACCTTGAAGTATTATGTAAATTAGGTGTTTTAATTTCCTGTGATGTGTCATTTCACGCAATAGAAGCCAAGGCAGCACCACTAGAAGCATGATAGAGGACTTTGAGATTGAGTTTGAAATGTTGAAATGTTGATAGGTCATTCTGAGAAGGGCTTCAACCTCTAGATCAGTCCATTTGTCCATTTTGACCACTGAGCTACACAATTTGCCACTTGATAATTCCAAAAAAATTGTATTGTCAAAATGGAGGTCATCAGTTTTATGTCATCTGTGATGCTTTCTTTTGACTAAATGGTTACATTCCATGCATGTTTTGAAATGCTGGACCGTGGAAAAGTCTAGAACAAGAACTAAAGAGGTTCCTGAAACTACTTGGAAATCAGCCCTGGTTCTGTTAATGAAAAAGTTCTGAGTTCCTGAAAAAGTTGGCAGAAAAGAGCCTATAGTGTCTTCCTTATGTCTTCCTTATTGCATGAGGAACAACAAGAAATAACATTCACTGGATGAAGAGCGGTCAAATTTGGTCAAACCTGCTCAGCCTTTGCAACAGAGTGATTGTTTTTAAGCACAGTGAGATTTACAATATGTTTGCGTACCACCATGGGACAAGAACGCCTCAATCAAGTCATACTATTGCACTGTCAGGAGACCACCACAAGAAATAGAAACCTGGATGCTGCAGCTTAAAGATTCATCCAGCAAAACCACAGCCTTAAGGAGAAATATGTTGCTTCTGACGGCCTTGGTGAGGAACCGCCACCTCCAAATAATGGTAACTATATATACACAATATATATCTATGCAAACCAGTCAGGTAAAGATACCTACAGTAGCCTGCATAGCCTGCATTCACAATAATATCTGAATCACACCCACCACCAATAAAGAATGTAGGAATCTAAGGGCTACAGGCTACCGCACACTAGACATGTCGGGAAATAGTGACCAGACACACTTCCTTTGTGCTAAGACTCTCTGCCGGTACAGCACGGAGCTTCCCGTCTGGTGTGCGGTAGCCTTTAGCTGGCTGCAGTAGTCTTTCTATGCTTTCTTCTTTGGACAGGTAAGTAGGACGGCGTTTTAGGGGCACTGTTAAAAAAATAAAAATAATAGACTTTGAGAATAAAGTCGTAATATTTTGAGAATAAAGTTGCATTTTTAATATAAAATCATAATATTCCGAGAATAAAGTCATATTTTGAAAATAGTTGTAAAGTTACAAGAATAAACTTGCGATATTTCGAGGATAAAGTAGGCTAATTGGCTGCCGTAACACGTGGGGCTTTGGTTGCTGTAGTCACAACAAAGATGCCGAGCACGTTAGAGTTCTGCTCCTTTGGAATTGATCATTTTGATTATCATCTCATTGTCTTCTGTGAAACTACATGCCCTCTTCGAAAGTCACAGAGATGTAACCACCAGTAGGCTTGTAGACGTCACTGCCTGAGTTCTCCTTCAACAAAACAGAGAGTTTCCTCCGAGTCCGTCTGGCTCTTTATTCTAAATAAACAGTTTCTTGAACAGCCATTTCAGCCATTTTTTATACTAATAACAGGCTGGTGCTGATGTGTCAGGAGAGACCAGGAGACTGAGTATTTATTTATAGGAGAAATCGATACTCTGCCAACTCCTCAATGTCCCTCGTTTTAACACAAGGAGGTTGCTACCTTCTTTTTGCAAACCCTTTGGCTGTAATATTGTGGCTTTCCTGGTAATATCCCACTTAATGTCGTAATTCTACGACTTTATTATCGAAATATTATGACATTCTCAAAATATTACGATTTTATTCTCAAAACATAATGAATTTATTCTCAAAATGTTGCAACTTTACTCATAAAATGTCATACCATACGACTTTTTATCTCAAGATATCATGACGTTATTCTTAAAATACTATGACTTTATTCTCAAAATATCATACCATACAACTTTTTCTCAAAATATTATGACTTTATTCTCAAAACATCACACCATATGGCTTTTATCTCAAAATATTACGACTTTATTCTCTAAGTGTACTATTTTTAATTTTTTTAAAAAAAATGTAAAACGTTGTAGGTAAGACCGAAACATAAGACGTAAGGTCTTCACTGCCCTCTGAGTTGAGGCATCTCATGGTTCCCAAGAGAATCTATAATGTTAGTGACAACTTTCTTTTGTATATAAATGTTATAAAAAATAAAAATTATAATTAAAAAATTCAGACTCATCCTTCTGTAATTATCCAGTTATCTACCTTGAGACTTAGTCACCATTAATTCTCAGTCAATTCAGAATAATTTATAGATCAACAGAATTGCTCTTCTTTCTGGACACGTGAAATCTTTTCATTTTTTTACAGTTTCCTAATAATTGAAATGGACTAGGACTGGCCTACATGTTATGTTACCAAATAGATTTTGAACAATTGAAAACACTGATTCCAAACACGTGAACGGTACTGTACACATCCACACATACACACACACAGGTTACATGGAAAGATGCATAACACAGTCATTACGTGTGAATAGTGTCCAGTGTGCCAGCATGCCTCCAGTGGACTAGAACAGTGTGATCTCTTAGAACCCTAGGAACTCTGCCAAGCTAGAAAACTGACACCACTGTCACATACCGGAGTCCATAAACTCAAGCAACAGGTGCTGCATCCCTCCCTCTTTAAACCTCCCTTTCACAGCTCTCCCTCAATGCTTTGTCTATCATTGCTACACCCCCCGACGCCTCAACTACTACCAAACCATCCCCACTGCGGGGGACCAAAACAAACTCAGCAGGGGGGCCGGCTGACTCTGGAGCTAAATTTGTCAGTGGGACGCTAGTGTGTGAATGCTCGCTCCAAGAATGGGCGGATGTTCAGGGGAAAGCGGGGAGGGGGGCTTGAGTTTAGAATACAAACAGAGTCAGACAGACACTGACAGCTATTCCCAAAATTGGAGGGACGAAACTCACAAAAACAAAAAAGAAGCCAAAGTCACGAGTCTTGGCTCATTGTATATATGAGCTATTAGTGCTTTTGAGCCAGAGGAGTTCATGATCGCAGTTTGGCACCGGAACCCTGCTAGGCCTCCAAACATTTAATCACAATTTAGCTTTCCAGGCACAACTTGAAAAGTCATTGAATATCCTTCCATTCTAGGTGTCTGAATACGTTGTATCTGGCACAATCTCATGAAAAGAAAGATTGCACAAGTGCTTTTGGAGTGATGCCACAGAAAGTCCACCTTTGGTTCCCAAAAGAACATTTCAATAGATGTTTTTTGGTAATGGGATAGGTTCATTAGGGAACAATGAGTGGTTCTTCTATGGCAGGGATGTCCAATCTTAGGCGCAAAGGGCCGATGTGCTGGCAAGTTTTCGTTCCAACAAACCGGTGTGTACGTGATCAGCTGTTTAAAGACTGAGATCGACTGATTAAAGAAGTAGAATCAGGTGTGCTTCTGCTTGATTGGAAAGAAAACTGGCAGCTCCTGTTCTATGGCATTGCTCCAAAGAACCTTTTCGGAACCCTTAATTTTTAAGAGTGCAGTTGCTCTTCTGCAGTCCAGTCAACGTCGCATAACGTTGGTCCGTTGCTGATGGATTTGGTCCAAACTTCTCAGAGCTCACCTGAGAAGCCTTTAGTCTCAAGTCCTCCCATGGATCATGATTTCACTGTAGAATTCAGTGAACCAGATGTGATCAGTTGTGTGCACCATGCAAGCCATATTAAGGCAAATCAGCAAAAATGGGGGGGCTGATTGTGGTTTCATTTTGCTACATGTCCTTATTACTGTCCACACTGCATTTCACTTTGCGGTCATTGCTGTCATAAGACCTTGTATCTCCAAAATGGTAACTTAGGAAAAGGAAAAAATGCCTTTAAGATATGTTAATGCAGTTCAACCACTAGTAGCCATCATGGGTTCGATCACCAGCGATGCCACAGCCATCCGTTACTGGTAGACCAAGAGAGCATAACTGTTTTTGGTCTCTCTGGGTGGGTTGGATGGTCCTCCCTCTCCCTCCATCACTCAGGGTGATGCTAGCCGTCTGTTAGCTGACTTAACAGAATTAACAGTTAGCATTCTCCTTCAAGCACATTGACCTGTCCAAGGTTTGCGTTAGCAGCAATTCGGAGGAAGCTCATGCTAGCCTTCATCCTCCCAGCTTAGTGGCATCATGTGGGGATCAGATTTAGATAGGGTGCAGAATTGGACGTGACTAAATTGGGGTAGAAATCAAAAGCATAAATTCAATATCAATTATGAAGGTGCAGACGTCCGTACTACATTTGTGTTAATAAGCAGAAGCGGAGATATTTGATTGTGAAAGAGAAAAAAAAACATTCTTTATAGTTTTTCCACTTCGTCATTTCTTGACATTAACAGATGCAGAAAAATGTTGAAAAAGCAGCTCAGACCTGTTGATATGGAATTTAAATAGAATCTATATGTAAGTAATTGCGTACCTTAGTATGGTATTGAATATGTAATTACATTTGAACAATGCAGCAAAATAAAAGTAACAACTCGACTACTAAGGGTTAATTTTTTTTTACTTTTTTAAAGTTTTACTGCATAATTCCTTGAAATGCAATGGTGTTTTTAAATGGCGTAAAAAAATAATGCTATGCGATAACCTATTTTATGATAGGTGTCCTGCTGAACCTGACATTACAATGCTGCCTCATGCTGAGCTACTGAAGAAACACATTCACACACATTCACACAGAGGGGAGAGGCTGCGTGTTTAGGTTTTGCATGGGCTACACATTCCTCAACGTCACATGCGTGTAAATGTAAACTGTAATACACTGTGGCCGGCTCTTCTGATCTTGACCACATCTGTGTCTGTACAATGCTCATGATGCTGGCTCGTTCCATCAAGATCTCTGGTCACGTCCGGTACCAATGGGACTCCTGTGGTCACTCATTGCTAGGCTGGATAGTTACTGGGGTGAGGAAAAAGTGGTCAGTCTCCTCAGATGTGGCTGAATAAGGCTTTCAGAGAATGGTGAAGGACATGAGCCTCATGGGAACCAGACAGAAACCACACAAACACGAAATGTCTGATCAAAATGGTCCGTAACAGAGATTATACAGAGATGACAGGTTCATAGAGATGAATAGATCCAATAATTCTACCGATACACGTTTACGTAGCACTCCTTCTTCGTGTTTCTCTAGACTGGGAGGTTATTACTGGAGTAGAAGCTGGAGGTTTCTGACACGGTCTTGGACATGCTTCTGGAGGAAGAGCCATTAGATGTCACCTCCATTGAAGGGCTGTGGACGGGCGAGCCCCGCTTGGCTCCCGCCTTGGCACCATCCTCGGCCGAAGGCAGCACAGCTGAGACGGTGGTCTCCACGCGGCTGGCCTTGTACACACTGGTCTGGGTCTGCAGGTAGCGAGTGGACTTCAGCTCCAGGCCTTCGTATGAGCTGGCGGTCACACATGGACACCAGCGGAAAGCTTGTTTGAACCCGGCACGAAACCTAAAAAAAAAAAAGAAAAAAGCAGATTTTGTCAGTAATCTGATCAACGTGTTTACATGCACTTGAGTAATCAGATGATGGGGAAACTCCAGGTCTACATGAGTCAGGCAGATTTCTGCTTTGCAACCAGCCAATAAACTCACATATTTCCAGTATAGCAGTCTGTTTTTGCACATGCGCAGACTGAGAAATTCGAAAGAAATCAGAGTAAGAGTTTACATGCATTACTGAGCTAAAATCCAGCTCTCTTTAATCAGATTTCTAGATCTAGATCTAGAGTATGGTGTTTACATGACCATTTGAATAATCAGATAACTGCAGAAATCCGATTATGATCAGATTATTGAGTGCATGTAAACACACTCACTGATTTAATGCCTTGAAAACTGTACACTGTGTTTACTTACTAGGTGACCATAGAACAGGTGGTTCTGATGCTTTTGAGCAGGAAAATCACCAAGCTGTACCAGATAGTATCATCAAATGTGAACTGTGACAAAGTGAGTCGCTTGATACACGTAGCCTACTGTTAATAAGTTTTACCTACTTACTTAGTAAAGTCCAGCATTTTTTAAAGAAAGAAACGGTCAGATCAGTATCAACATCATTAAAGTGAAAGTGGCACTGTGTATCTCTAACATAATTCACAGTAGTTGCTGGATTTTAACCGAATAATACGTCTAACAGATCTTCAGAACAGTTTTTTCCTCTCCAAAATTAGCTTTCTGAAGATACAAGTGATGATACGAAGGACAGATGCGCCTAACGAGATGAGTAGGTGAGGAAAGAAGTGTGAAAAAGTGTGTGAGAGAGCAAGAGAGACAGTTTTAGAGTGTGTGGAAAATGAGCTGATGACAGTGAGTGCTAGACCGTACTTGAAAAGTAGAAGTACAGGGAAGGAGAGAGAGCTCCCACAGCTTTCAGTAATTTTTTGTTGAACAGGATTTTTATAGCAACATCCTCTTTCTGCTGCTGCAGTATCGACGCCAGACAGCGAGCATTTTTTCCTGTGCCACATCTCAACAACGCTGTGCAACGGTCAGATAGCACCCTTCACCAGTTTAACTTCCGAGCAAAATGGCCATAAAATAGAAGTTATTTATTTTTCAGCATCAAAAAAAGCAGAAAACAGATGTTTCTGAGCAAGAAAACAATTAATTTTGTACATTTTGCAGTATTTTAATTTCTCTCTTCACTCCATGTCCAAAAAATTCTTCTCTGCTGCTACTCTTCTGGGAAGGCTTTACACTATATGTTGGAACATTGCTGTGAGGATTTGATTGCATTCAGCCACGAGAGCATTAATGAGGTCAGGTACTGATGTTAAATGATCATAAACAACTCATCCCAAAGGTACTGAATGGAGCTCCATCACTCCAGCAGTTCCACAGCCCAATGCTGGACCCTCCAGCCAGCGTTCGTCATTGTGCATAATGACTTTAGGCTCATCTGCAGCAGCTCCAAAATGTCTCATTTTATTGGTCAAACTGTTTTGTGGCTGCTTGTGCACATCGGAATGCTTGTATTAGCAGTGGGAGCTCCTAGAAGGTGATTATTCAAATACACCACTTTTGTACTGTTAAAACAGACAATAAAGTTATTCAATAAAGTAAAAAAGGTTTTTGGCCAAAATAAAATTCTCAGGCTACTGTGAAATGTAAGAATTTTTACTAACTTTATTTAATATTTTTGTGTATTTTGTGTACTTTTAAAATAATTATGTGGTAAAATTTCATAAGGAATTTTCTCAAAATGGTTTTCCAAAGAATCATAATCTTATTGAACTGTTAGGAGGTCAGCGAGATTTACACCCCCTCTTAAATATTCAAATTAAAAATATTTATACTGATTGATAGTTTTCCATTTTTCTTGAAAACACCTCCAAAGTTCAGTCTTAGAAGTTGGTTGTATTTCCTGCTTCTCACAATTCTCACAATGATTTTTTTGTCTGTTTCCTTTTCTCAGTGAGGCTTTTTGACAGGTACACATCCTTTCAGACCCATAGCGTTGAACTGTCTTTTCACAGTGAAGGGATGACTGTTTTCAGATCTGAAGCAAGAGTGGAGATTAATTTTCTCCTCTCTCTTATAGATGAAAGCTTAAGTGCTGTTTATCTGACAGTGTTGGTGGTCTACCAGGTCTTCCAGGTGGTTGTTAGGAGCCCCATTTTTTCTATATTTTTACTCATTACTCATTGATTTTCCTCTTCCTTATGCAAGTCTTTCTCAGTACTTGCTGCAAGTCTCAAGAGATCCTTATATTTTTGCTTTCTGTGGTCTATGTGTTTGTGACATACCTGTCATTGAGGCAGCAGTAGATGATGGGGTTGTACATGGTGGAGCTCATTGCGAGCCACATGATGGCCAGGTACACCTGCTGGATGAAGGGTCTCTCGAAGAGCGAGGGAAAGAACTGGTGGAGGAGGAAGTAGACATGGTACGGCAGCCAGCAGAACGCGAACGTGCACACCACTACAATCATCATCTTCACCACCTGCAGACCAGGAGAGATGGGTCAGCATACCTGTGTCAGAAGATGGTAGTAACCGCTTCCATTTACTCCGTTTTATTGTATTTTGGATGGATATGTGTCCTTTTCAAAAATGGCCACAATTCTGAGTTTATGGGTTTAATTTCATTTTGTTTATTGGTTTAACTCTTGGCTCACATCTCTCGCTTTTGGTGCTTTAGTGTTTTATTTTTGGCCCAAAGGAACAAGACATGTGTAGACCCAAAACTTCAGTTCTGACAGACGCTGTATTTACTAAGAAGCTCCTCTGCACTACAAGGAACTTGGCATTTGAGAAGTTTCTACACAAAACTTTTACTTGAGTATGGATTTAGACCACTTTACCCACCTCTGCTTTGAAAGACAGAGCGAGAGAGTCACTGCTAATGAGGAGTGTAGGAAGTGCTATAAAAGATCCAAAAGAAGAAGCAAGAGAGCAAAATAGTGTTAAAGAGAGTTGAGAATGAGATCGAGGCCCCCAAACAGAGCAGAAAGGAGTGTTGGAAAGAAAAGATGATACAGCATGAAAAAGAAAGTCTGAACAAGCAGTAGAACTGCAGAGAGAAGGAAGTGTGAATAGAGATGAAAGCAGAGAGCTGTTCTGGTTGGCTGAGAGTTTCATAGGGAATATTTCACAGCATGAAACTGCATGAAATTCCCAATGCACATGTTTCTCCCAATGTGACCTCACATGAGGTCTCAGAGAGCGAACAATCTCAAATGAACGGCATTCCATATAGGCAGTGTTTTCTGGAATACCTTCAGCATGACTGAACCATTAACCATAATCTGTCACTTCATCAGAGAAGAAAATACTTTGGAAAGGAAAACAATGAATGAACTTGCTTTTTACTAAAGCCCTATTCGGCTTGGATTAGTTTATTATCTGTTATACATTTTTACACATAAAACTCTTGCAGCCAGATATAAATAACATGATGGCAGGTAAGGCGAGCTTCTAGTGGGTTGTATTTTCTACAATCACAGAAATCTAAGAGATGATGATATTGTGCATATGTGAAAATTAATTAATGCTTTATACATATAGCTGCCATGTGAACTGCCCCTCTAATAAATCTGGCTTATGTTCTTTATCCTCCTGCTAATGATCTTCCAGTGTAGAGAGGATGGATATGAAGTTCCACCACCCAGACCAAGTAAATGGTTGACAGAGACTTCCAAAGCAGCCATCACTTTGCGATGTTTAAGATGGACACCTGCACTTGGAGGCTAAATACGTTAAGTAGCAGCAGTCAAAAAACATTTTTTTCCAACACGAGGTGATATCTGCCTAGAAAATCACAGAAATGTGGACTAGAATTATCAGATGACTACTAAGTTGGGTGAAAAACTTAGGTAACTCTGCCTGTAATCTTCTCAGAAGAAAATGACAACAAATGTGAGTTACTCAAAGCTAACATTTATCTAACCAGCTGCAGTAACTAGCCAGCTAATGCTAACAGCTGTTTAAACAGCTGCTTGTGCCAGCGTTTAAAATGATCAGATGACTGCTGAGCTGGGTAAAAAACAACTGCCTCTGCCTGTAATCGTCTCAGGAGAGGAGGGACGAAACACCAACATGGCGGATCCAGACAGAAATAAACTCACACAGTAGCAGCTGTTAAAAGAGGAACTAAACTCAGGCTCCCATTCAGATTTATTCTCGTCCAAATTAGGCTTTGTTCTAAATTAAATCTAACTTTTATCTTAGCCCTTATCCTGTCCAAATGTGTTTATTAGGTTTATAAGGAGCTAGTCAGCTAAACACCTTGTTAACTAGCTTGGTATATGCATAGTATAGGCTAACTTGTGGTTTGGTTTTAGCTAGCTAGCTCAGTCGCTTTCAAAGCTGCCCAAACGTTTTACCCAACAGAACTTTTAATAATACCTGTGGTAAATGTCCTTACTCAGCCCTTAAAATATCTACTTTTTTGTCATTTAATGTGTAAATGGAGCTAGCTAGCTCGCTGGCTTTGTTTGGGCATGGTGTAGACTAACGTGTGGCCTGTTGGTGATTAGCATGCAAAGATTTAAAGCCAAATTTACAAAGTTACTTGTTCATTTACAGTTTTTTTCTTCTGCCTCATGTGGTAATCTTTTACTCAAGCCTTGTAAGGTTCCGATTGATCAGATTGGATGTACATAGAGCTTGCAAACCTACTAGCTAGTTGGCTTGGAATATGGCATGCTAAATGGACATGCTAACTCCTGTCTCAGTAGTTAGCAGGCTATGTTAATTTTAAAGCTGCTTTTTATTTCAGGTCACTATCAAGAGTTCCATCACCTCCAAATTTCTGATTTAAATCTTCTGCTGAAAAAATTATAGAAAGCCATTAAAAATTACTACTGGTTCCTGGTGGAGTACCAATAGTCAGTGATGGTATTTTGTGTTTTCCTAATGGGTTGATATTACCGTGTAAAGGGTTCTAATTGGGTAGTAGGTGCTCTGGGACTGATACCAGACGCCTTTGATGGTTTCCTAATGGGATCTAAAAGTGTTCTGCAGGAAACTAGTGGTCTCTATAATAAATATAAAGTAAATAATAAGCCAATTCGCATCAGAAAGCAAAAGCATCAGGTTTTAATTGTTCTAATGGTATTTGTGTGTGTGTGTTCCCATAGACCTTTCGCTTAGCGGCAAGTTGCTCCTGGTAGCGTCCAGAGGAGTCTCCGGGGATTTCGCCGGCCCACAGGTTTAGTCCCACCACCAGGTATGCCCAGCCCATCACCAACAGAGGCAGGAAGTAGATCAGGATGGCCACACATACATAGTAACTACAGAGAAAGAGAGAGAGAAAACCAGAACGAACGTCAGAGAGACAAAAAACAGTGAGAAAAAAATGAGGATAATGCATTTAGTTACTTATACCAATTAATGTGTTTTTGTAGAACCATATGTCCAAGAAAAGCAGCATTTAGGAACCTTTATTATGAAGAGTATGTGGGCCCACACTTCAATTACTCATAACTGCATAACATATATTAGTTTACCATATAATATACAGTAGTTACAAACGATAATCTTAAGTCTTAAGATCATGAATGCAATAATAAGCTTGCAGAGGTTAATACCATAGATAACTATGTTTCTGTCCATCCTTCCACTGTAAGAAGACAAGTCAGCGCTATGGGTCTGAAAGGATGTGTAGCTGTCAAGAAGAACCTCACTGAGAAAAGGAGACGGACACACCAAACAAAGAAGCTGAACAATGGACTGACCACCCCAGAGTCCAGACCTCAATATCACTGAATGTGTTTGATTACTTCAGAAAATGATCAACCAACTTCTAAGACTAAACTTTGAAGGTGTGTCTGCAGATTTCTTTGAGAAACTGAAAGTGAGTATCCTGAAAAGAGTGGAATTTGTAATGAAGGTAAAGAGTGGACACAGTGAATATTAAAAAATCTGACATTATGTTTAGATGAGGCTTCTTTATAATCTCCATTAAATATTTGTTTCTGCTGAAAAATCAATGATTGGGCCATTTTGACTGGAAATTAAGACTTAACGACATTCTCTGACTTTTGCACAGTACTATTTTGATACAGACACTTCATAGTTCTGTTTGTTTTAATGTCAAGAAAATGATAAACATGCAAACGTTGCAAGATGATTTTTCTGGCTGCAAAACAAATAGAAAATTTTCATCAGATTCGTATCATAATAAAATATCTTCTCTTCTTCTTACAAACACATATATAGTAAGGATTGAAAGCTTAGAGGCTGCACTTTTGACTTTCTCTACTTCTTAAAATGTGGTGTTTTTTATTTAAATAATACAATTATTATCAAATTATACCACTGCCAATAACGGCAACTTACATAGGTCTTTTAAAGTTGCATCAGTTCCTGACTAGGGTTTTATTCCTTTTGGTGACATTTCTGCTCCCTCAGTTCTATATAAATTCTCTTTTAAAGCACTGCTGGTGTCCTTAAGTCTCTCTGGAGTAAATCCTGTCGGCTCCAGTTCACTGGAGCCACCCTCAGACGAAGATGATGCTTGTCTTGCAGCTGACCGTGACTGCGGATCAAAACCAGGACCACACATGCACAAGACCAACAGTCACAATAACGGGTTCCTCCAGCACTTGGTTTCAATAATACTGGAAATCTACATTGTGTAGATTTGGTCCTGGTGAGCCACATCGCGACTCAGTTACATGTTCCTCCTGCCCAAACACATCTGATTACACACGAGAAGTGACCTTCAAACGCCTGAGTCAGGTCTGTCTGAGAAGGGGAAGAACTAAGGCTGGCTTTATTTTTATTTGAAACTTGCATGCAACATTAGTTGCTTGAGACCTACATGAGACTAAATTGCAATTGCCCTTGAGTTGGATGTAAAGTGTCCTGCAACTCATTTGAAACTTGCCTGCAACAGTTGCAAGTGTGCCACAAGCAGTTTCATGAAACAACCAATCCAAATGCTGAAAAGGCATCATGTGATCATGTTGACCGACATTGTTTCAAATGATTGATTTCACTGAATCAGTGGGCAAGAAAATAGAACAGAAGATGGTTTACTGGGTCGTTGAAAAGCAGCTCCTCCAGATTAACTTAACAAAGGTTGGTAGCTTTTCATTTTGTTGGCTTTCTGAGCCATGACAACAAAGACGATGCTAACATTTCTGTAACCAGCTGCGTTAACTAGTCAGGTAATGCTAACAGCTATTTGTGCTACTGTTTCCTGTTATTTAGCCTCCTGATTTTAAACAGAAGAACCATAGACAGATAGATTATTAAATAAATAACAGATACACCAAACAGCCTTAACATTAAAACCACCTCCTTGTTTCTACAATCAATGTGTGTGTTTACATGCACTCAATAATCCGATCATAATCGGACTTCTGCAGTTATCTGATTATTCAAGTGGTCATGTAAACAGCATACTCTGATTTCTTAGATTGGAAATATTAGTATAAGGGCTAAGATAAAAGTTAGATTTAATTTAGAACAAAGCCTAATTTAGAACAAAGCCTAAAAGGTCTAGAAATCTAATTAAGAAATCCGATAAAGAGAGCTAGATTTTAGCCCAGTAATCAGATTTTTCAGTGCATGTAAACTCTTACTCTGATTTCTTTCAGGTTTCTCAGTCTGCGCATGTGCAAAACAGAAATCGGATTACTGCCTGACTCATGTAAATCCAGAGTTTCCTCATTATCAGGTTACTCAAGTGCATGTTAACGTGTTAATCGGATTACTGACAAAAGCTGATTTTCTACAGTTATTAGATTATTAAGCGCATGTTAGCACTCATTGTCCATTTTATCAGCTCCACTTACCTTATAAGAGCACTTTGTAGTTCTATAGTTACAGAGTGTAGTCCATCTGTTTCTCCATATACTCTGTTAACCCCCTTTTAACTTGTCAAGTTGCATGGAAATAATGTTGCATGCAAAGACCACCCACGACTGGATTTGGACACTGCTGGTCTGATATGATACAGTTGACAGTTCATTTAAATGCTGTTAATTGATTTCATGTTTAAGATGAGTAACAAATAATCCAATGGATTTCCAAAATCCATTTTTTCCTCCAACATCTGGTTTTATGTACCAAGAACAGTCTTAATTCATTTTAAATGACCACCTTTCAGCCTCACTTAAAAATCAAACAGGCTGTTTTTTACAGTGCCTTTTAGACTGATACATGTAAATGAGCTCTGATCTGATTGGGTGCCCTGTATTGCGCTTCACTCTAAAAAACAGTCCAACCTAAAACTTGTTAAAAAATTTTTTCACTTTTTGCCTAATTTTAAAGCACATTAAAGGTTCATAATGAACCGACCAACAGAAATGGCCGAAAATAACTTGGAAAAAAATCCTGTTCCATTAACTTCCATTCAAAGTAACGAAGGTTTTTTCCTTCGCCTGTAAAGCTACCTTTTTGGAGTTCCGACAGAAACAATATGGAACTGTATCCGACTCCCATTATGCCAATCTATTCCCTTGCACTCAGCTCATGCCTTTCCACTTGGATCAGTTCAGCGCAGCTGGAGGGCGACAGCGTCCAGCAGGAATTAAACCCATGACCTCTCATATCATAGGAAAATGCCGTGACCGCTGGGACACCATGCATCTCAGCAACAGGTATCATCCCAGGATTCCGCAGAAGGAAGGGAAAAATCAGACCATGACTTCATTAAACCTCAGCTAATCTAGGTTGCATAGAGACACAGGTGGTGCCGGTGCCATCGAGAGGCTTTTGTACAAATCTATGAAAACAGAAAGTAGTGGAACCCCACAGAGGAGCTCTGTAGGGAGACGGAGCCCAACCTATTCGCCCTGACTGGCTACCGCACAGCTGAGGCCTTCCAGTTCATTTCCCCACCAATTAACTACAATCAGAGACGGAGAAGGCGTGATCAGAACAGATCACCTGCTGAGCTGTTGATTAAAGTACACTAAAAATGGCAAAAACATTAAGCACTCATCCATCTGTCTGCAACAAGGCAGCGCACACACAAAAAGCCTTGATAGATTTATCATGCGGCCGTCCAGGCAGCCAGTCAAAACAACATTGGAGATGGACCGCGTGTCTTACTTAACTTGATATCTTTCAGTAGGCTTTTAGAAAAACGTGGCTCCGTAATCAAGGCTAATTGATCTCTCCTCTTACTGGAAGACATGAGCGCAATTACATGCTGGGATTGCGACATGCGTCAGAGCAGAAATTAAAATGCCATATGTCTCCACAAAAGGCTCGATTCATAGCTCTAGGTGAGTGAAGGAGCAGCGACGGGAAGTCATTTCTGAGACAGGCTCCTCCGGTTACGCCGTCCATCCGTTCAAGAAAGAAACGTCCGAGGCCTCCAAGCGGCCGGCGGTAGTAGGCCATCAAATTTCCTGTCTCGCTTCCACCCCTTCCAGTCTAAACACCCCGTGGTTTGTTTGATATAGCCGCGGGACGTGAGCGCACTCGTGAGTTATTATCCTGCTGCGGTGTTTAGAGAGTGAGACTGCAGAAAGCTTTTCGGTCTCACTAGACTGTCAAACACGGGTAAAATGAATAAGAACAATTATTGGCTTTCAAACGGGGCAATGCAGATAACCTCAGAGATATATATACAAACGCAGGTGATGGTCTTAATAACATTTGAAGCTCTCATACACAGACTAAAGCCCACCTAGTGATAGATTCTGGACCGGGACAACACATTGTGTAATCCAGAATGCATGTGGGTGCTTAACCCTTTAAGGTGGACGCAAAAAAAGTGTCTGTTTCTGCCATTTAATGTCATTTCTCAATGCTGCTGTTGCATTTACGTTGACATATAAAGAACATGATATAAAATAGACAAAAATGTGCATCACAAAGTACCTTTCTGAATGAGAACAAAGCAAGAATAGGTCATGCAATTAGACACGTTTTGTTGTTACTCTGATTTGACCAAACTACAGTAAGCTCTTACTGGACTGAACTGTGTTTTGAATGAGCTGAAAAAATCGCAGAGCATTCAAACTTTTATACAGTGATAGAAAACACAGTATCACACGAAAAGTTTCAATTCTATTATGATTTTTACTATGGCTGATGTGAATGTGCACGCACACCATCTCCATTTGAATGAGTTACCGAACCAGCGAATTGTCACTGTCCAAAGAAAAGGCATCTCCAAAATGGTAACTTTACAGGAGAGGGCAAAAACGTTCTTTACTTTTAATGTAAATTAATGTAAAGAGATCTTATTCCAAGCAATTTTGGAGCATTTCTATTGATCCGTTCATCGTGAAATTTTCACACAATGCAAAGGGCAGCCTCTTTGCTCAAT